CACACACACACACACACACATACACACACACATACACACACACACACACACACACACACACACACACACACACACACACACATTTCATTACCTTTTCAGTACTTCAGGTTAATTTTTGTCACGTTATGTTGCCGTTTTAACTTAATTAATCAGCAAACAAAATAATCCCACAATTTTTGTTTTCAGGTCGAAAATGTCTGCAAGTGCCCCGATCGTACATCATGTCACACCTTGCTTGAAAGGGGTGGAACTGAAGATGTTTGCATGTTCAAGTGTGTTGATATCGACAAAGCGAATGGAGTGAACGATCTTGGCAAATACACATATTATTCGATCAAGGGGGAAGAGAGACACATTTGGGTGCACGATGCTATTTAGATGAATGCATACGTCTTGGTTCTGTTTTGCTCGATTATCCTGTTTGTCTTAAAGTTACAATATTAAAGTTAAAATATTATATTTTGGTCAAGGATGTCATTGGATATGAAAAAGTCACCGAAACTACGAATGCGTAGAATGTGTTGTCAGACCTTGTGGCTGTATACGTTGCGTACAGCAAGACATTTCTTTTAAAGAAAACCCACTGCTCGAAAAGTTTTATTTTGCACTGTATTGATGGAAAAATAATTGCTGATTAAAGAGAGAAAGACGATTTGAATTGTACTAGTTTCCAGTTACTGTTTCATGCCAACATAAAACTATTTATTGTACACATATTACTATTCCTTTGTACTCTACATCAATGGCGTGGGGTGGTTGTAAAGACGGTGGGGCTTGCCGTGACTGGACATGAAGTCGTTCGGATTATAAAGGATGTGTAATGACTGAAAAGCATTAAAATACACATGTAAGAAGGTAGCGTGAAAATATGAATATATTCAAAAGTATTAATAATAATAATAATAATAATGATAGACAGCATTTGTATAGCGCAAATCCGCGCTTAACAGCAAGCTCTATGCGCTTCACAATCTATACTATTACCCCAGCAGACCCGTGAGCATTCTGAAACAAAATCAACTTCCTGGGAAGCATACAGTGCAAGCAGCCATTTATAGGCGCTAAAACACTAACAGATGACAAGATTTTTCGCTGTCCATTGCCGGGTACCCATTTCCACCTGGGTGAAGTGAGGGAAATTCGTGTAAAGTGCCTTTCCTAAGGACACAACGTCGGACCCGAAGCTCGAACCCCGGGCCCCGCAACATCCCGATTACGAGACCGGTAGCCTAACCACTAGGTCACTGACGCCAATATATTAGGCTATACACCAGCCGTGAGTAGCAATACCACATTTGAAACCAGGAAAATGAACTCACCTGTGTGTCTTTATACATGTGCATAATTTAGACCCTTTAGTTTTTTTTGTTGTTGAGCACATTTGCCGACGTCTTGCCGACGTGAACAACCCAGGATTAAGATATCTTTTTTTTTCTCCCCCCCCCCCCCCCCACGACAGAATACGAACATTTTGCTGGTTGAAATGTTCTCAGTCTGTTGACAATAAGCTTCTCTTCACGTGCCTTTACGTAAGAGCTCATGAGATTGAAGATGAATGTCACGTTTAATTTTTTTTTCTTCAAATTTTGCCTATCAAATGAAATTGTTAATTCAGCCCTCCCCTTCCAGCCTGACTCGGCCCAGTGACAGAAATAAGCAATGTTCGGCCTTTGGAAAGAGATATGTGCACAACCTGTACTATTTCATCATGGAAACTTCTTTTAATAAATGAGTGTTTAATGTGATCTGAGTCAATAGCCTTAATCATTGATTAAACACTTACGTAACAAAATATCGAACCAAAGCGAGTCTACGATAAGTATACTACGGTACACGTTTTATTACTGCCTTAAAGGAAAAAATATCCCTTTCCACTTTAAAACAAACTCAACACATTGATACAATACAAGGGTGCTTTTTTTCCTTGTTTACCTGATCTCCACATACAGAACATAGGTGTTCACAATACGCAAGACATAATAGATAGCATTTGTATAGTGCAAATTCCCGCTCAACAGCAAGCTCAATGCTATGTGTATTTTTACCATAGCAGACCTGATAGCATTTATTTGAAACAATCTCAACTTCTTGGGAAGCATACAGTGCAAGCAGCCATGTTATAGGCGTTAAAACACTAACATACTTACATCTTTCGCAATAGACATCACTAACAGTAGGTACTAACCAGCACCAAACGTCAGTCAAGGGTACACACACCAAAGCCCAATGGCATAATTACAGCTACACAGCTTAATTTAAGAAAACGCACAGAAACCCCAGAAGGACCGTCTGATTGGGTAGAGCTATACTCAAAGTAAATGGTAGGATACATCCTGACCAATTAGACGGTTTTTAAAGAATGCTTCAACAGTTTTGTTTGGGTCTTATCGCTGTGTGACTCTTTTTTGTCGGAATATCTTTAAAAAAATTTGTTAAATGTTTTGTTTCAATTTTGGCCAATAGAAATAGCTTTTAGGTAAAGAAGACCAGGTGGGGCTGTAGCTGCAAGCCTCATCCCAGGAGACGTCACTGCTCTAAACTTTCAGCGCACAAAATCATGTGGGCAGAACGAATAAGTGGGAAAACAGATTTCATTCTCACAGTTGTCTGTCTTACTTCGTTTGATTGATATCAGACTTAGCTCAAAATGAACTGAAGCCATGACAGTTTGTCAAACATGAATTGAAAGTAGCTCTTCATCCAATAATATTCAACATTTACTGCTGCCTCGTAAAACAATGTTTGCATTCGCGAGAGTCCGCACGTTAGACAGTCCCCTTGTGTGTATGTGCGTATA